GTTTCGGTTTATTACTGCAGTAACACTCCAAAAGTCTGAAGATGGTTAAATAAACCGAAATGTTACAAAAACATATAGTTGTGTAATTGTTTGACCGCCACCCTGGAAAAAACTGCATAATTTAATTAATTAAATTAAAATGCTATTAAAAGTAAAATGATATCTGTAGTTTTTAAATAATGCTGTTACCATTTTATTGTCATGAATCATTCCTTTAGCAATGGCAAAATCTGCCTCTAATTCCAGCGGAGAAAAGGTGTTTAATGCTTCCTTCATCCAGGAGTGGCAAAGGACTGATATGAAGAATCCTTCGTAGCACATGGCATCCAGAGTTTGTATAATGCACCTGTAAAATAAAAGAGTGTTCAGATAAAATTAATTTTATTAGTAATTTGCAGAAAAAGTTTATTCTACGAATAAATGAATTCGGTAAATTGAAACGAAAGACGTGAACAAACGTTCACGCAAGCAAGAAGCAACTGACCACGAGAACCTGGCAATGTTCAGGCTGTCGTGAAATTGCGATTGCTACCACATGAAGCAGTGATGACGTAACAAATGTTACGCAGAAGCATCACATTGGGTTTCTGCGTCAGTTCGCGGCAAATTTTTCGTAATTGAACCAATAGCGTAGCGACTTTCACTTTAACTTATTATAAAATTGAAATTATGAATAATTTGCTTCGTGCAAGTTCCATCGCCTGACCAGAACTCTGAGAACAAGGCCGAGAGAGATAATAAAAACTTAGATAAGACAGTATTAGATATGAAAAGGATGATAGTGAGTTTTTTCTAGATTGAATGTGTTGTAGAATATGAGATAAACAAAGACGTGCTTTTCAAATGACAAAAAAGGTAGAACTGAATACTAATTAAAATAAAAAAAATTACATCAATTAGTAACAAAGAGTAATCCATGTTTCATTTATACTTTAAGAAATTAAGTACAAGGATTTTTCATTGGCCGCAAAAGTTAGGGAAAGTTTTTACCTATGTGAAAAATAATAGATCGATTTTCAAAATTTTAATAAATAAGTACCTACCTAATTTTATAAAATGTTCATTAATTATTTGTTAATTGTAAGTTTCAGTACCTCTCGCAATGTTTGCAGTCAATTATGTACTTAAATAATGAAAAATTGTAAAATAAATATTATCACTTCAGCAACAAACCTTTGTTACCGTTTTAATTTGAAAAAAAAAAAAAAACAAAATTCCAATATAGTTTGCTTAGCGTGAAAAATCAGAACCAAAATAGGGTTCCAAAT